TCTGCAAATAAATTCTAGGATTGCCGAGAGCAAACAGAAAGACAATGGAAAGAAAGAGAGAGGATATTTTCCTTTAGGTCTAATCATGTCTAACTTCTGGCAACTTCAGTGAAAATCAAAATCGAAACCCCTGTGAATTTCAGACCCTGTGAGTATTCTCTTATGCCTATTTGAATGCTGCAAATTCAAGACTGACTTGATTCTCCTGAAATGATGCCATGATAGACTTATACACTGCATCTCAGTTCTGTGGTACAGCACTCTGGATCCCTAGAAATGACGTTGAGATCCTTCAAGCAATGAATGTGATTCTATCTGTAAGAACACAGTACATTTTCTCTTGGAATTCTCGCAGTTGTAACAACCCAAGCAGGCAATAATAGCAAACAGGCCTAGAGGGCTGTAAGCCATTTGCAGAAATATGTGAAAGTTACAAATTAAACTTAGAAAGTATTAAACAAAATATATTCTATCCTCCAACATGATTAGGTACATTTTTTGTAAAACAAAATTGAAAAATATGGTTGCGTAGTAAAATTTAATAATTATAAATATAAATATTCAATATAATGCAAATACCCCCAATTTTGTTTTCTGCTTTTATTTCAGCAAATTTGTGCATGTGTTCTAAGTCACTTCAGTCATGTCCAGCCCTCTGTGACCCCATGGACTGTAGCCTGCCATCCTCTGTCCATAGGATTCTCCAGGCAAGAATACTGGAGTGGGTTGCCATGCCCTTCTTTTTATAATGGAAATTCTCACAAAAGTTGAGCTCTACTGATAGTATTAACAAAACCATCAATTAAAAATAGACTATAACTGCAACTAAAGTGTATACAGTTTGAATGTTTTCATCAAAATATGAGCATCAAATAAATGTAAAAATTGTAATGAATATTTTCATATTTTTATAATTAGATATTCAAAAGTAGTTATTAAAATTAAAGGCAAATACAAACTATACTTAATTAAATATAACTTAAACAAAGCCAAAAATGCTGACTTAATTTTTTTATGTTTCATAAACTGTATTACACATTTTTATAATAATCATGAATTAAATTATTCATGATTCCAGTATTTAATGTTCATATTTTAACTTCCAAGCCAAAGAATCAGCATCATGTTTTATGTATGTTGTATTTAAAATTTCATCTATACATATTCAGAGCAATATAAATTGTTTAATTTTACAAAATATTCCTTAGCCACCAAATATAACTTCTTCATTAGCAATTCTTGAACCATGAATTGGAACAAGAAAAAAACCAAGAAATGGTCATGGCTTTTCTGAGACAAAATTCATTGAGAAGAAATCTACTGAGCTTATATTATCTGAGAGGACTTGACATGTTCATTAATTTATCTTTTCCCTTTCCTAAATATTTGTGTCAGTCAAATTGTCCTTGTATTTCTAAGTAGTGTTTCCTCCAAGAGTCAGAATTTTAACCTGTTAAGGTTAGTCAAGGGAAAATTAGGAGCGTCCAGCTGAAGTTCTAATAACTGCATACATATTTAACAAACTCGAAACATTAAGTAGCACCAGGATCTGCAAAGATTGTGATTTATTCTCTGGTTAGAAGGTAACACAACACTGTATAGTTTAGGGATATAGACAACAGGCCAAACTGCCCAGGACTCTATTATACTTCTAAAGCCCTTCTGGTGTTGGAAACTCTCTAAGCTTCAGTTTCTTCATCTATAAAAGGGATAATTTCTTATTCATAGAACCACTGTAAAAATTAAATTATATAGCCTGGCACACAGTAGTTTCTCAAAAAATAGAAACTGTTAGTATTTACTGGCAAAGAATTGTGGGGACTGGCTGTACTGAATTAATCATCAATCTAATGAATATTTACTGGTCCTCCTATACGCCAGGTGGCTGGGCAAAGACTCAGGATTCGAAGGCTACCGTTTTGCAGTAACTATAACATTTTTATGGGGGATACAGATATGTACTATGGAGATATAAAAGTGCCGGGCAAGCACAGCTAATAGCAGACTGAACTTGGCTTGTGAGAGGAGGTGAAGGCTCCATAAAGAAAACAGTATACATGCTGGCAACATGAGCAGGAGATTCCCAGTGAAGGATGGGAAGGGCATTGCAGGCAGAGGATGGCAATGACTTGGGAGTTATGAGAGTATTTCCACATTTAAAAAAAGCAACACGTTAGAGAGAGGCAGAGTAACCATGTCAGGCTCCGGAGATGGTTACATTCAGTAGACAAGAAAGCCCCAACTGATTAATTTGTTTGTAACTAGACCTGAGGTGCCATGTTAATCCTTCTATAGTGTGGCTCCAACTGGACTCAAGGAAAATTCCAGTTCTCTGAGATGTGCTACTTTTGAGGAGTTGGCTTACAAAAGGTTTGATCAACACACACTCCTTAGTACAATAATGTTTGCTTGTTAACTACACACCACTTTTCTCAAAATAAACCAAAGCTGGGGGGAGAAGGGAAACACTTATTTTGAACCTCAGACACGTGACTTCCAGTTTTTCCTTCCCCTATAATTTCTGCCATGGGTTGCCCTTTTCACTAGGAGCACCCTGGGACGTATTCTAAAAATTGATGCAACCAAGAAATGCGAGCTTCTTAAGTTAATAAGTGAAACAGCACTCAATTCCAGAGATGTATAGGGAAGACAACACAAAATTTCTCTGCAGAAAATATATCCTCAAATTTTATCAAGTGATGTGCAAACCGCATCAAGTATTTGATTTGAAACTCATGAAGGTAAAGTCTAACGCGTTCAAAACAATTAGACTGTGAAGAAGGAAAAGACATCACAGCCATAGGCAAACACCTGGGATGAATGGACCCCGACAAGACACCTCCAATGTCTGTAGCAGCCCTCCCAGGGAAAGTAACAGCCTGCCACAGTTTCCTCCAAGAGTCAGAATTTTAACCTGTTAAGGTTAGTCAAGGGAAAATTAGGAGCGTCCAGCTGAAGTTCTAATAACTGCATACATATTTAACAAACTCGAAACATTAAGTAGCACCAGGATCTGCAAAGATTGTGATTTATTCTCTGGTTAGAAGGTAACACAACACTGTATAGTTTAGGGATATAGACAACAGGCCAAACTGCCCAGGACTCTATTATACTTCTAAAGCCCTTCTGGTGTTGGAAACTCTCTAAGCTTCAGTTTCTTCATCTATAAAAGGGATAATTTCTTATTCATAGAACCACTGTAAAAATTAAATTATATAGCCTGGCACACAGTAGTTTCTCAAAAAATAGAAACTGTTAGTATTTACTGGCAAAGAATTGTGGGGACTGGCTGTACTGAATTAATCATCAATCTAATGAATATTTACTGGTCCTCCTATATGCCAGGTGGCTGGGCAAAGACTCAGGATTGGAAGGCTACCGTTTTGCAGTAACTATAACATTTTTATGGGGGATACAGATATGTACTATGGAGATATAAAAGTGCCGGGCAAGCATAGCTAATAGCAGACTGAACTTGGCTTGTGAGAGGAGGTGAAGGCTCCATAAAGAAAACAGTATACATGCTGGCAACATGAGCAGGAGATTCCCAGTGAAGGATGGGAAGGGCATTGCAGGCAGAGGATGGCAATGACTTGGGAGTTATGAGAGTATTTCCACATTTAAAAAAAGCAACACGTTAGAGAGAGGCAGAGTAACCATGTCAGGCTCCGGAGATGGTTACATTCAGTAGACAAGAAAGCCCCAACTGATTAATTTGTTTGTAACTAGACCTGAGGTGCCATGTTAATCCTTCTATAGTGTGGCTCCAACTGGACTCAAGGAAAATTCCAGTTCTCTGAGATGTGCTACTTTTGAGGAGTTGGCTTACAAAAGGTTTGATCAACACACACTCCTTAGTACAATAATGTTTGCTTGTTAACTACACACCACTTTTCTCAAAATAAACCAAAGCTGGGGGGAGAAGGGAAACACTTATTTTGAACCTCAGACACGTGACTTCCAGTTTTTCCTTCCCCTGTAATTTCTGCCATGGGTTGCCCTTTTCACTCGGAGCACCCTGGGACGTATTCTAAAAATTGATGCAACCAAGAAATGCGAGCTTCTTAAGTTAATAAGTGAAACAGCACTCAATTCCAGAGATGTATAGGGAAGACAACACAAAATTTCTCTGCAGAAAATATATCCTCAAATTTTATCAAGTGATGTGCAAACCGCATCAAGTATTTGATTTGAAACTCGTGAAGGTAAAGTCTAACGCGTTCACAACAATTAGACTGTGAAGAAGGAAAAGACATCACAGCCATAGGCAAACACCTGGGATGAATGGACCCCGACAAGACACCTCCAATGTCTGTAGCAGCCCTCCCAGGGAAAGTAACAGCCTGCCACTCCTCCAGGGAAAAATTCTCCAAGTACATTAGCAACTTGCAACACAATCTCACTGATGTGATGTGGAGGAGGCATGGGCTTCCTTGGTAGCTCAGTTGCTAAAGAATTGCCTGCAGTGCGGGAGACCCTGGTTCGATTCCTGGGTTGGGAAGATCCGCTGGAGAAGGGATAGGCTACCCACTCCGGTATTCTTGGGTTCCCTTGTGGCTCTGCTGGTAAAGAATTTGCCTGCAATGCAGGCAACCTGGGTTTGATCCCTGGGTTGGGAAGATCCCCTGGAGAAGGGAAAGGCTACCCACTCCAGTATTCTGGCCTGGACAATTCCATGGACTATGGGGTATCCATAGTGGTGCAAGTGGGAATCAACCCTCCATCTCCAATAGAAGACAAGCCTTTGAATGGTATGGAAATTAAATCCATCCTGGAATAAGCCAACTGTATTATAACTAACACAACTGACACCTCTCATAAACTATGGATTCAGTTTCTACAGTTTAATAGTGACTCAATGACATGAGAAGACATTTTTAAAATTTACATTCAGTTTTCTTCTCTAAGTACAATCTCATTATAATTTCCATTTCACAGCTACTTAGCTAGATTTTATGGACAGCTTGAATTAGAAAACAGCTCTTTAGTAGATTTTTTTTTTAATAAAAAGAAATCATTTGTTTTTGTTCACTTACCATTCCGTGATTCAGCCACCCTGGGATAAAATTATCAAGCAATTTCGGGTAAATCATCTCTCTGTCATAGGCATAAATGATCCAGAACAACACGACAACAAACTGGAAGGGAAAAGAAATCCTTTTATTTCAAAGGCACCAATGGTCCACAGCATACAATTGGTTGGTTTTCTACTGTTCAAAGAACCCAACAAAACTTTAATTTACAATGAAAGATAAATGAGTAAGCCAGCTAATAACTGGAAAGATCGTTCTAACTTCATCCCACTAGTGGTAACTGTTGGGGTTCTTCCTCTGTCCTTGATCTCCCAACTGTGTTCTCAGGCACAGGGCTCTGTTTGCGAGCGAGACAGAGAGATGGTCTGTCTGTCATCTGGATCAGCTCCCTTCCAGGGCTAATTGTGTTGGTTTGATTCCCCTCAAGAGGGTTTAAAAGTTCATTGGTGGTTTTTTGGATCCCATTCCCCACTGTACAGAGTTAGAACACATTCAAGAAGCTGTAGTGTATTTTCCTTGAACCCATCATGTGGTTTAAATTAATCTTCACATTCTCGAGTTTCTATTTCACCACTAACAGCATTGAAATCACTGCTATAAAATGTCCTAAAGTCACATTTCCAGCAAATGTATTAATTTATATAGCTTAAAGCAGGGGCTTTAGTGGCACTGAGAAGCCAAATGTATGGAGAGAAAAGGAAGACTCCTAATTCTCTTGGAATAGCTCATAAATTCATCTGGATTCCAGGGGTTTGACCCAACAGCAACCTCTTCATCAAAAGTGTACTCAATTGATTATTTTACCTTTCCTCAAACTAATGGTGAGAGAAGAAGCTCAGATAAAATAAAGAAACAAATGGCCCAAGGTCTTAACTTTCACCATAGAATTTTTTTTTAAGTGAATGGTTTTGTAAATAGTCTATAAATGTAGCACAGAAAAGAGAATGAACAATCTCAGAGGGAGGTCTCAAAGTCTCTTCAGAGTTATGTCTCAAAATAATAAATACTAGAGGATGATAAAATGCAGCATGAATATTAAGTAGGAACAATTTTATCTCATTTCTCCATAAGGCATCCATGCCCTGATATTTTATTAATAATATACATTTTATTGCCACTTTTTATAAAACTCCCAGTGTTTATAGCTCAAGGTTATAAACCAGGAGGGTTCCAAAGTTTATTTCCAAGTATGTCAGTTATCACATGGATAATCTTAGCTTGAAAAAGTTCACCCTTAAAATCCAGGATGTTATGAACATTTACTGTTTCATAAAACACCCTGAATGATAATTACAATAGTAATTGTAGATGACACATGTAGTTTTATACCAGATTAGGGTCCCTAGTTATTATCTTGCTTTTGGGGTAACTGTGTTCATTCAGTAGATAAATGCACAAAAGGAAAAAAGAAAAAAAAACACACATGCATTATTAGCTTAATGCAAATTATCATCAGGATCTTTCCAAGTACAACAAACAATTTTTGAATTATCCACAATTTGGGTTTGTTCATTCCACCACTAACTTCATGTGTACTGAATATCAGGGTCCCCGGTCCTCAGATCTGGGTGGGCACCATGCTTTATAGCTTTGCTGCTCAAAGCGTGGTCCCTGGATCAGCAGCACCCACGCCACCTGAGAGCTTTTTAGCAGAATGCCAGGTCCCAGCCTGATAGGTTCTGATCCTGGATTTTGATAAGATCCTGAGGTCACTCCTGTGCACATAAAAGTTTGAGATGTCCTATTTTGCAAGGCTCGGCTCCAGCCACCTGGAACCTTCCTCTCTCCCCACGGAGTGAGGCAATCCCAGGTCCACATGGCTGGTCTACCCAGAGCCTGCATGCCCCTCCTTTGCTAAACCACATCCTAGGAAGCCACGACCCTGGAATTTCCTGCCTGAATAGGAACGAGTATGTCTCAGGGCCTGTGTGGGTCTCCTTCTTGAGTCTGACCCTGGAGGGAAGACTGCTCAATAAATGTGTGTACTCTTGACCAGAGAGATGGTTAAGAGGTATTTGTTTCTGTAGGGTGAGAACCAAAGTTTGACAATTGGCCTGGTGATCAATCAGTTCAGTGCAGGTCAGTTCAGTCGCTCAGTTCTGTCTGACTCTTTGCAATCCCATGAATCGCAGCACGCCAGGCCTCCCTCTCCATCACAAACTCCCGGAGTTTACTCAAACTCATGTCCATCGAGTCAGTGATGTCATCCAGCCATCTCATCCTCTGTCATCCCCTTCTCCTTC